GGTTTATAGTATGTCAATAGTCTCTTCCTTTGAGAAGAGATCGATGGTACCCACAGTTAAGAGTATCAAATCACTATAATTGATGATTCAGTTTGTGTTGTTAAGCTTTGACCGCTTTGTTTTTTTGCCCCATTTACTTAATATAATAGGCACTTGGTGTCTTTTTCTGCTCGTTAATATGTATGCCAGAATTTGTTTGTTTGTCGTCGTCCTCCAATGCATTCTCCGGCTTCAATGGAAAGTGGAATACAAAAATGAAATGGTGTGTTATGCTCAAAGGCAAGTGACAAATTACTCAAATGGGCAAGAGCAAACATGGAAGTGTTTTATTTTGATAATTTCTCGTTGTAATAGAATAGCTAGTATAGCTCGTAATACTTTTATATACTAGTTGTTGGAGCACGCGCTACGCGCGTGCCCCCCGACGGCAAGCTAAGTAATATTCGCGAATGTGTTTAGTTTGTGTAGTATTCGTAGTTATGTTTCGGTTTTGTAATAATAGCATTTTTAAAATAAGTCTATTAGAAATATAATAATTAAATGAGTGTTTGATATTAGGTTAAGTGTAATATATTGTAATTTTTGCAATGCAATATACGTGGAATTGGTTGGCTTGTGTAGTATTTGTGATTATGTTTAAGTTTTGTAATAATAAGGGTGCAAAATTGATTTTTAGTATTTTTTAAACGGGTGTATTAGATGTGTAGCGATTGAATGTCGTTTTTAGTTTTTTTTTTAAAAAGAGGTAATATTATCGCTTTTTTTTGTTTTTTTGTTTTTTATTTTGGGAGTTTTGGGTTAAAGAATTGGCTTATGTATTAATTTAATCTACATTAATTTAGTTTACATAATGTGAGGATTAGTAAAAATCTAAAACCGTAGTCAACACACACGTGTGTAGATATTATTTAACAAAAAAACTACTTTCTAATTTCAGATGTTTTGAAGTGAAGAATCTGTAAAGATGTATTTTGCTTTAAAAGATATTTGGATTTATATATTGGAAAAGTACGTTATAATGATGATATTGGGTTTGAGTAGTCAAATCGGGTGATCTAGTTGTCTCTTTCTCTGCTATTTTTTTTCTCTTTGTTTGTTGTTTTTTAAAAAATTTTACAAAGGGAAAAATTAGTGTGATAGCAATGGCGAGCACCGATAGCACTGCAACTTCTGGGAAAGTTTTCTCGCTACCTGTCTGGAAGCCTAATGTTAACAAATCTCAAGAGGAGAATATTTCGAGTTTCCTTTTGTATTTTGCTGATGTTACGAAGAAGATGAACAGGCATCTGGAAGAATTGCGACAGGGGAATGCGAAAACAGAATAAAAAGTAGATGAAGGTGAACACGGTAGGAAAAGAAAGAGAGAGACTGAAAGTAATGGAGGTAAGCAAAAAATCATTTGTGTTAAGAGAAAGTTGAAATTCAGGCTGAAGATGAGTTCGAGGAGAGTGCGGAAGATGATGAGTCTGGTGAAAATTCTGACAGTCACTTCAATTCTGACTCCGAAACGGAGTGTGAAGAAGGAAATGCTTCGTTATCGGATTCATTATTTCAATCACAGGGATTTCTCCAACAATGAGGATAGTAGCTGGTTTGATTCTGATTCTGGGGAGTACTATGAACAAAATCAGGAAACAAGTGAGGATTCTGAGATGTACAGAATGAGAAGTCCATAAGGGAAGGTCTCAGTTGGGGAATTTGATTGCTAAGGTTAATTTTGCTTGGTTGTGGCCTGTGGGGGTTTATTTTGTGGTGATCTTTTGAATGGAATAGCAGAAAGTTAAAGCTTTGTATATAATAAGATTAAACAATCTAAGTATTTAGCTAGAAAGATGCAGTGCATGTCAATATGAATGCAATATAATAAGTTGTAATTTTCTAATGAATGAAGCTCTTTTATATTAGTTATGGTTTTTCTGCTGAATAAATATCTATGTCATGGAACTTTGTAATGCCTTTGAATAAGTCCAGAAGTCATGCAATTTCTTAGTAGAATATTTATCCTTGTAAAATATATCGTAACTGGATTGTCAAATTTTCTATGTCAAAGGAGATTAAATGTACAAGTAGTTACAATGCAGAAGTCATGCAATTGCTTATTAGAATACTTTCCATTGTAAAATTAACATTTTGAAAATGTTATTCTTTATTTTAAAATTAATATTTTTAAAATGTTACTCTTAGAGCATACTATGAAGTCAAGGTATTTCAAGGAGTATACTTTAAATTTAAACTTATGTTTATCATCATGACTTTGTTACTCTTATTTCCATTGTAACTTTTATCTTAGTGGATTATTATTATTTATAAGTGAAGAGCTGTGGTTTTTTTAAATTCACATGTAGCAAAGGGAATCTATAATAGCTAAAGCTTTTATTTCAATAATTTGTGTAAGGAGTACTCATTTGGTTATATGACTTGTTGTAGAATAAAATACTTTGTTAATTATAAGTGGTTAAGAATAAGCAAGAAATTTGTATTTCTGTGAAAGGCCAAGCAAGTTAAAGTTGGAAAATGTATTAAGCAGGTTAAATTAATAAAGCAAGACTGGTATCACAAGTTTAGATGTGAACTTACAATGCAATGAGCCTGCAACCAGTTTACAGGAATCAATGGTTATGTTTGAATATAAGCAAAGATGCCTGCATTTATGAAGAAGTTTTGTTAAAATCCAATGCCACTGCACATTTATAATGATTAAGAATCTATACTTTGGTATAGTCTTAGTGTACTTGATGTATAGAAAGGTTCACATGGTCACAGTTGCTGTAGAACCTGTAGTACTCTGAAATTTATTATTTTTTCTCAATCTCTATATATAGTGGGTTAGATTTGCTGTAGAGTGTATTGAGCATTGTTGTAATTATAGCTGTAGTTCGAATAATGGTATGTGTATCTAGTTAAGCATCAAAGTTTCTTGTTTAATTTTTGCAATAATCATAATCTGATTGTAGGCGCATTTGTTTTGTTAGGCTAATGAGAATTTTATAATGAAATGGATAATCAGAATTGAGGAAAAGCATCAGTCTTCTGCAGTATGTGATGTTTATTGCTGTCTAGTTTGCTAAGTTTCGTTCTTTAAAAAAAATGTATATGCTTTTTTGTTAACTTGTTTTTTGTATGTATGTTCAGGAAATCCCTCCTAATTTTTATCATGTTTTAGCCAATCAATGTGGAGAGTTCAAGGTTTTTCGTGGTGTTGATGGGGTGTCATGGAACGTCATTGTTAAGAAATCTTGCAATGTGAGTGGAATTAGGAGTATATGTATTGGAGAAGGATGGAGGGAATTTATATCGGATAATGATATTGAAGTTGGAGATACGTTAATAATGTATTTCAAAGGTAATGGCATATTTCACACACGAATATTTGCCTTTCACGGTGAAGAAAAGACATATCCAAATGCCATGATATCAAGGGTTAATAACCTTGAAAGAAGACCTCCATTAACCAATTCAGAACTCGACGTTCATCTATCTATAATGCAGCAAAATGTTCTGCTCCATCTTTCAGGCATATATTCCGTGCACCATATATCAATGAAGGAACTCTAGTATGTTTGATTTTTTATATATAGATCAAGTGTTTCATTGTTTCTTTTTTTTTCAACCTTTTCTGTTTTCTTTACATTGTCATCAATGGTTTCTCAAGGTTAATTTCTTCTAAAATGCTATTCTGTGCAGGTTGTTCCTTCTTTATTTGCTAGAACTTATTTCAGAGAAATGAAAGCATGTACTGTGGTGTTGATTCGACATAGACTCAAACAATGGTGTGCTGAACTCCATATTGCTCGAGAAAGGAATGTAATAACTGCTTGTTCTATAAGAAATGGTGTTAATCTGTTTTATGAAGATCATTGTATTATTGATGGTTTTGGTGCTTTAGTAGTTTATCGACGATGTTATCCTCTCTTATTTGAATTTCTACTTGGACCCATGTAAGTGTCTTAGGGTAATAGATTGTCTAGCTACATGTGTTTGGCTTGTGCTACTATAAAATGTACTTGGTTAACTTCTATTGTAGTATTTATCTAATAGATGTGTAAGGGTCTGCTTTTGTAAGGGCTGATGTTGAATGAAACTCTATTTAAGGCTTGTTTTTAAGCCTTTGTAGCAAAATAAATAGTGTAATGTAGGTGATTAATGGGTGGAAATAATCTTGAATTTTATGTATGGTTTTGTTTTACCTTTATTGTTGGAACATAACACTCAAGTATGCTAGTCCCTCACTCCTTCATACATTATTTTAGGTACATCCACCAGCCTTTGAGTCATTGACCACCTTCAGTCCTTCACTATTCTACCAATTCCTATATGGAAGTCTTTCTATCACTGATTAATCCTATATCTCAATTTAGAATTATTCAATGGATGATATATAATCAGTCTTTCTATTAAGTTTTAAGATTTTTTTAAAGTTTGAAATGAAATTTTACTTACATTATTTATCTTTTGTAGCTAATCCTTGTGACTGACAACTGGAATAATAAACTTGCAAGTGTCTGTAGTAAGCAGCTGAACATAAAGTAAATACTTATGAGTGAAAAGGGATTACCAGTGTGAAGACATTACTTAAGGGTACAGTCCTGTTTTCATGAATCTGGAAGTGTATGTTCAGGATGGGAATACATCAGCATATATTACATCAAATTGTTGGCTTCGTTTTGCAAAATCTGTATAATATAGCAGATAAGGAAGAGTAAAGATGTTAAAAAAGAATGTATAAGCAGTTGCTAATCAAATGACGGTGAACAAATTCTTAGTTTCATTTCAGTTGCTGCTCTAATAATGCAGTATTCAGGCATATATGTTACAGGTTTAGATAATATTTACTTATTTTTTGAAATATGAATCTAACAGATGAATTTGTCTTTTTTTTTTTTCTCTTGATTCAAGTGAAAAAGAAAAGAATTAAGAACAAGCTGTACAGGCAACTAAACGAGAGACCAAGAAAATTTACATAACTTATTTTATATTATTAATAGATATCCTGATTTAAGGATATCAATATATACATTATAGCCAATTTATAAGGCTTTTGCTGATATTATAAACATTAACATAACTGAAGTTCTTGACTAACTTAGAATAGGATGTCCAAAAGCTTACATTTACTACATAGCTTGGCTTACTACATGACTGCATTACTAAATACATAAACGATGTTTATAGGGAACACAAGATGAGCAAAATGTTCCTTCTAAACATCCATAAGAAGCTGAATCCTTAGCAAAGTACCATACTTAAAAGCTAAATTTTACGAGCAAAAGCAGCTGCATTTTTATAGACTTTAAATTACTTTTAATCATGCATCACTGAGGTTGGGTGTTGCAGAGTCTTTGTTCTCGCCATTATCTTTTTCAGCGGAGTCCTTGAAAAGAGTTGTACGGAGTCTCTTCCTGGGAACCTGATCTTCATCTTCTATGTCCATGTCTACATCTGCAAGCATTGCTTCCTTATTCTTCACATTGCTTCGTGGGCGAGAAAGTTTGGCCCAGGTAGGCAGTTCAGCAGTTGATGCTGGTGGCTCTAAAATGACAATACCCTTGCTTGGTGGCTGATTTGGAATTTCAAAACAATCTGTGTTGAATGCCTGTGAAGCTAATCTCATCTCTTGAAATTGCATTGCTTCAGCAAAAGCCTCATCAAATGCTGTTGTACTGTCTGTGTTGAAAGCAGCCTTAGCTGTGGACATTAAAGGTGAAGTATGGAACTGCTCTCTATTCATAGCGCAAGTCTCAGGCACTGCTGAAGCTAGAGGTTGAGCTTCTGGTTCATTATCCTCTACATCAATGCCCTTGAGAGTCCAAAGCAGCACACTGTTCATGGCTAGTTCTTGAGTAGGAGTTACTTAAATGAAGAAAGGTTTAGTAGAAAGAGTTTCTTTCACCACTGTGAAAGCTTCCAAATTTGCCTGGAATGTTACAACAGTGAAGGATAGATAATGTAAATGGTATTCAAATAGAACCTATGAAATAACATTTAAGCTGAAATAGTAGAGTAAAACTCAGAGGAGAATAACAAAGCAGTAAAAGCTAAAGAATGAAAGCATAAAATGTATAATAAGTGTATGTTACAACAATAAGCAAACTCTTAACAGTAGTATGCATAGTAGATTTAACTATTGTAGTCTAAATAACATGGAATGCATTCGAATGAAGCTGTAAAAAACGGAAGATAATAACATTAGGGTAGATTCTTACAGTGCTCTTGATATTCCAAATTTCATTTGATTTTTTCCGGAAAAGCTTTTCTGTGTCATCATTAAATGTTGTAAATGACATTGTCCCACTTTCATCAGCAGCGTCGAACTTGAAAGTCACTCTGTACAAATATGCATTAAAGGAGTTAGAATTAGTAGATAAGCTTATTATGTCAACAATAACATATAAATAAGTTCATGGAAAGTGTCTGTAAACAGTTGTAGTTTCTCCTTTCTTGCAAGAGATGCAAGGAAACCGAGTTCCAACAGGAAGGTGTGTTCGCTTTCCACAACCTAGACAACCAATGTATGCATTTACTCTTTGTAGGTCAGGGTCTGGTATAGTGACTCTAATCCATGCTACCTCATCTGGAATTGCATTTGAAGCCTGCATTCATTTAGCCAAATATGTATTAGAAAACTTCATATGACAGCATATGTAAAAGTTACTGAATTGTGAGCAGGAAGTTGTTTTCACATTGAAGTTATAACATGAAGCACGAACCTTTTTGCTCCGCAGTTCAGCTATGGTCACAACTTTTTTCTCAGCACTTGGGTATCTAACATTCAGAATCTTTTCTTGTCTATCAAGCAAGACATGCTGATACAATTTGACCCTGAAATGTACAGTAGAATAAGTTAAGTACATTATCTAATGAATGATCTGTTTGTTTTTAATATAATGTATGTACTATTTACCATTCTCGGAGCATATCTGCTCTTTCTCCTTTAGGATTCATAATAATCCTAGTAGACATAGTAGTGTTCAAAGTGAATCCTGCAATGTACAATAGTTAAAGAATGTTTCAGATTAGATTATATATGGACAGTACAGTTGTTTAAGCACAGGAACCATTTTTTAACCTCTTGTATGGCGAGTTTTAAGTGCAGTAAAACCGACAACATTGAATCTCTCTGCCCAATTATTCATCGCATCGCAAGGTTTACCAGTGAGATCATTCCATGTTGAAATTGTCATAGCATGGTCTTGGCTGATCCATTATTCATTACATGTTGTTAGGTATTTGAATCAAGTAGTGCACTAAAGGTAAAATATGTATTTAAAAGTTATGAAGGTATATGGTTACCTTGTGTCAGTAACAGATATTTCACGAACTGGACTCTCACGCCCACGAATGTTAGATATCATTCGAGGTGCATCTTCAACAAACAGAACCACACCAACAATATCTATTTAGGCAGGGAAAAAAAAAGAACAACTTTAGATGATATTAATAGCAATATACACTAACTGTATACAGGATTGTATCTGTGAGTAAAATTTTAATATAGTATACTTATACCAAATCTGCCATTGGGATCAGGTGATCTTGGGAGAGTTGACAGTGGCTGATATCTAGGCTCAATTGGACCAGCCTCTGGATTTAAACGCTGAATGATAGTTTGCTGTCCAATAGTCATCTGATATGGAAGCTCCTCAAGGTTAATCTTGTACTGCTCATCTATATACGTTGTAGGAGCTTTCGATATTTCATATTGCCCAGTTGGTTTCAAAACATCTTCATATGCATGTATTTGATCTCCAAAAAGAGCACATCTCATTCTGTTTTTCTGTTTAGACATGTAACATAAAATTTAAGCCATGCTTATTTAGAAATACTAAGATTGTTTCTTTATAAAGGAATAAAAGCCATATTTTAATGAGCATGGTAGTTGAACATAAGCACAGTTTCATGCATAAATTTAGATATGCTAACAAAATAAAGAAGATCAATTACTTTTACATTATATAAAGTTCCTTGCTTAGCGAATGCATGAGTTGGTAATTGAAAAAAAACAGCAGTAATAAGATTAGCTTTAAACTCAATACAAATATAAAGTACTTTAATGGAAAAAATACATGTACTGTGTTTCTGTAAAAAAGATACAGATGTAGCAAAATTACCTTCTCATCTTATAAGATGATTGTCTGAAATATAACACCTGGTTTTTTTGGTGATGGTTGAGCCCTTCCTTTTTCAGCTACAGTCACTTTAACCTTGTAGTCTTTACTTTGAGTGTTGAGTTCATCTAAGTACACAGGTTCAAGCTTCATTTTTGAAGGTGTATTCATTTTCTGTAAAGAATAATTGAAATTAGACAAATAAATTAATATTAATTTAGTTAGTTAATCTAAGAGTAAGGTATATCATGCAAAGTAATAAGCCTTTGCATCCATGTAAAATATGCTATAACGTAGGCTAGCTAACTATGGAGCATATATAAATTTGCTTAAATCAAGCATTTAAATATGTGCAAGGAAGAATATATAAAAAAGGATACATATAAACATTTATTATTATCAGCAAAAAAGGTTGTAATAATTTTATTTTCTCCAGCAAACTTTTTTGTATAAATAGCAAGCACAAATTTCTAAAATAAATTGTGTACAACAAATATACATAACAATAAATATAAGTCTTTGATAACAACAACAACAACTATAACAGAATAATGTAATAAATCTCTAAAAATATTAGGAAAAAATAAATCTAATTTTATAAACTATAACCGATCTGTTTTTTTTTTCTTTTTTTTTACAAAAATGTGAGATCAAATGTAATTGATGTACTAGTAGAACTATAAATTACAAGTGCACCAAAAATAGATAATAGTTAGAGGAGATTGAATAATATAAAAAGTATATGGTTCCTTTAACATATAATCTGATTAGTAAGCTTAAATTCTGCTGTGATAATTATTAGCTTAGAATTTGTGAATGCAAGTCATCAATTTTTGTGTTAGACAAATAGACTAAATGAACTGAAAAAAAAAGAAGAATATACCTCTAAAGAGAATGGAATAACATAGAATGAAGTAATGAAGAATAAAGAAGGAGGAAGTGGGTAGTTATAGCTAAATCATAGGTGTTAAAGCTGACCTAATTTTTTTTCACCTGGGTACTGTTCAAAGCAGTAAAGATACTATTCTTTACTCTAATTTTCGTACATCTAGAAGGTGCCATGGACTAAGATTGTGAGAAGATATTCTTATCTTATGCATTAATCTTAAAAGGGTAGTGTAGGGAATAATTTCAAGCTTTAATCCCACTAGCTTGAACCCCACTGTGATCATACACTAAAGTACGGTGGCGTCTAAAAGGGAAGAAGATAGAGCAAAAGAGTCGCCAACAAGTTTTAGGAACTTATAAACCGTTCACGAGGTGAAGGTTACACCCCTTAACGATCCAAGAGATCGTCAACTCCATAAGGTCTTGAACCAAATAAGGGTTCGGGGATGAAGGTACAAATCCAACCTAAAAGAGATTGAACCTGCCCTAATAATAGGCCTCTACTTTATTCTGATCGTATTCATGTGCTCTTTCTAATTAACATGCAATCAATAGGATTAACCCTAAACCTGTTTAATCTATGTTGGTTGAATATTAATGCACAAATAAATCTATTATTGGCGATCACTTGAATTATAATCACAATTAACCCCAAACAAGATTATTAATTATCTTATTAAGCGTGATTATAGGTACCAAATTCCCTTTAACATGCATCAAAGGTGTGATCGAGCAATAAATATAAATATCAAGCAACATAATAAATCATAATAATAATCGAAATAATCATGATAATAAAAATAATAATATCATCATAAATAAAATAATCATCATCAAAATAATAAGAATAATCGTAATCATAATCATGTTCATGTTAATATTAAAGCATAATAATAATAGCAAGATCCTAGGCATGATACTAACAAGATTAATAACAAACCCTAGCATGTCACTAAGCAATAAAAACCAAATCTTTAACCCTAACATGATACTAACAATCATAAATATTGAGAAGAACATAGGAAGCATCATACTTTTAATCATATTTGATATTAAATTTACCCTAAACATGATACTAGGAATTTATTGTTGTCACCCTAAACATCAAATTAAGGAAAACATCCTAACATGATACTAGGAATAATAATAACAATCTAAGCATGATTTCTATATAATAACATCAATAAATCAATTAAAGCACTTACTTTGATGCCTCGTACCTCTTTCTAATAACAAAATACACACGTTAGTAACTTCAAGGAAAATAATAATCAAAACAATTAAATTAAATAATTGAAATAGATATTTGGGACCAAACCCTCAGAAATTAAACCTTTCACGTCTAGGGCGAAGGCAACTTCGAATATGGCTAGGTGTTTCTAGATCTTGTGAATGCGGAATTTTGTATGAAAAAGCAAAGTAAGAATTAAGGGAAAGAGAGAGAGATGAGAGAATTAGAAAACTGATTGTAGATGAATGATCGTGAGAATTGGTGAATGAAAACGGAGTTTTTAATACGTTATTTATAGAGAAAATCAGACAAAAAGATAAAATAAACAAAACAGAGTCTGACGCACAAAAAAACAGAGCTGGCGCAAACCCTGGCTGATTGGCGCCAGGCACTAACACTGGCGCCAGGCGCCAAAGCCTAGGGTCAGGCGCCAAGCCTAATTTTAACGCGTTTTTTAAAATCAGATATGTTTGTCGTACTGGAGGATAAAATCATATAATTTCCTTGAAAATGCTATTTGATTTTGATTAAAACTCTGAAAAGTCAACAAAAGTCAATTTATCAATGCTAATTGAATTAAGAATGAAAAGAACCTTCTAGAAGAATCTAGAAGACTAAAACCATTCCTAATTGCATTAGGAATGATAAATCATATTAAGCCCTCCCCTAGATCATTGGGCCGCATATAAGGCTCAAACCAGGCCCAGTTTAATAAATTGGCCATAATTTCCTCAATATTCATCTGAATTGGGCTTATAATATATCGTTGGAAAGGTCTTGTCAAGCCCCATCCAACTACACTACTATTGGACCCATATCATGGACCAACCAAAATGGATTGGCTATTTCCTTAAAATAAGTTTTCAAAAACAGAGAGAAGAGAAAAAAAATTAAAACTTTCCGCAACACTAGACTTTCCACACTTTCGCTTCATTCGATTATGATTCGACGTGAAAGGTACTCATCACCGGGTTTGGTTTTGGGGAGACACAAATGGGTGTTTACAGGTAGCTAGTATTTTTTGTGGGGAAAGTACATGGATTATTTTTTACCTATAAAATAAAGAAGTGATTTTTTTTTTGTGGCCAAAGTTGTGGTAAAGTACAGCAGCTTAGCTGTCTTATTGGGTTTGAAAAAGATAGATTATGAATAGTAAAGTTGACTTGTACTTGCATATCTTCTCTATAAAGCAAAATATATTTACTTAAGAAATGTGATTACCTTTTGAAATCTAAATGATAGCATTCTTAACATGGGCTACATTCTACAAAGCCCATTACATATATCCAAAAGAAACACAGCCCAAATATTTGGACATAAAAAATTGACAATAACCTCTATTTTTGATCAGTAGAATTATTTCATGTATCATATGCACTTCTCTTTGTATAACTAATTTGGAAAAATGTTTCGCTTGAAAAAAATAAGTACCTTAAATACGAAACGACATCTAAATTTTAATACCTGCCATTTTTTTTTGTGTATTTTAATAGTTTTAAAATATGGTATAGATTTTGTCAAAGGTGACTGTAAATCCTAAGAATGTTTTTGGAAGAATTTGAGAGCATATATAATTTAACGGAGCGGCAACCTAAGAACAGTAAATCATAATATAATGGATAAAGTCTCTTACCAAGCTGAATGAGATTTTCCTGTGCACAAAAGATGTCTGAATGCTGAAATAAATGTCAGTGTATTAGAAATGTCATTAGTCTGTTATAAAATGGTTTCAATCCTAGAAAAATAAAACCAGTACCTATTCTGTAAGCACATGCAGAATTTTGTGAATGGTTTCAAGTGTAGAAAAGCAAAACTAGTAATCCATAGCTACAACCAATCTAGCCATCCATTTCAACATTCTCTGTAGACAGCAATAATTAGAATGATTAACAATTATCATCTACTTGGAAATACATCAGTGTCTAGCTTTCCTAATGATCTCAGCTTTAATGAGTCTGCATTACTTATTGTGATCACAAGTCTGAAAGTTTGTTTCAAGGCAATGTATAATGAATGATTTGATAATTGTACAAATATCTAAAATAGATATGACTGCCAAATGCACTTTTCATGTCAAACATACAATTTGAATCTTATCTTTTTTGACAAGAAAAGAACATGTAATACCCATCCCAGCTTTTAATTGAGGAAGTCAGTTTAGAGCACCACAATAGCATTATTATTTATAGATCTTACTGTGCTTAATCAAATAAGTAATGGATAATAGGTCCCAATATTGCATCAATGACACCTATACATGCTTGCTATGTGATGTCTATGTTTACCTGATGCACCAAAGGACCTTCATATTCAATAATGTATGAATTGTTTAAATTGGAAATTAGTTCCTGCTACATAAAACAATAACAGTTAGAGAAGTGCTAATCCTTTTTAAAAAGGAAAAGGAAACAAGATTAGCGAAATAGCACGAATTTGAACAGAATGAATAAAGCAAAATCCTAAATTACCTGTGTAGATTTAATAATAACAACTGATATACATTTTCTTTACCCTTCAGCATATTTACAAATACTGAACACTACTATGTATGATGTAATAATAACAACTTATATACATTTGCTTTACCGTTAATCATATTTATAAAAACTGAACAGTACTATGTATCATTTTCAAGAATACCCGATAAGTTTAAAAGTTCAAAAGACACTACATTAGTAACAACAGTTGTAGAACACTTCTCTGTAGCTTTTTTGGTAAAGACACAGACATCTTTTGCTTTCTTAGCTCGAGATAATGCGACATAAAGTTGCCCATGTGAAAAGCATGGACGTGGAAGATAAATTGATACCTGATTTAGAGTTTGTCCTTGGGACTTATTAATTGTCATTGCAAAGCTTAACTTGATAGGAAATTGTTTTCTTTCAAACTGGAATGGATAATTGGCACCAGTAGAAGGTCTTAGATTGACTCTGTGTATGAAAACTGTTTCTCCTTTGTAGTGGCCAACTGCTACAGTACAATAGATTACATTTGGGAAAAATCTGTTGCAAATAAGTCTTGTGCCATTGCATAAACCCGAAGAAGGGAGTAAATTTCTCAATAGTATAACAGGGCAATTTTCCTTCAATATCAGCTCATGAGGACTCATACCACCAGGACATAACTTGTTGATGAATTCTGTTGGATAGACATTACATGTATCATTCAAAATGGCATCAAAGCTCTTGTATCTAACAGTTTGACCAGGGAATTGCTCAATCATGGATGTATTAATAGAATCAACATCATCATTCATAGGTGTTAGAATTGCTTTTTTAGTGAACACTTGACTATCAACCTGTCCCTGAGCAACTTCTGGAAACGTTTGGACTGTAACAGTTGAGATTAATTCTGTTAGATTGGTGGTGGAATAGACAATATCTTGTGGTAACTCAATGAATGCATTTTTTGTCTGCTGTAATTTCCCATTGCCTAGATCCAGCAAAAAAGCATAATAGACAGGATCTTCTCTTGCTCTAATATTTTCTAGTCAGTCTGAACTTGATAAACTTAGGCCACAGATAAGAAGTAACAATACTTGCTTCAACTGCTTCCTTCATAGTTTTCTGAGGGACCACCGGTAACACCTGCCTAAAATCACCTCCGAAAACAACAACCTTGCCTCCAAATGTAAACTTATTCCCACATATATCTTGTAACAAGAGATCCAAAGACTCAAGGTTTTGTTTCTTAGCCATTGAAGCCTCATCCCATATTATAAGTGCAGTTTCTTTTAATAGTGCTGCTAAACTACCTTGTTTTGGAACATCACACGCTAAAGAAGCTTCACTATCAATTGGTATTTTAAACCTTGAATGAGCAGTTCTACCTGAAGGAATGTTTGCTGCAGCAATTCCTGAAGTAGTTGTAGGTAAAACAATCTTGTTCATCAGCCGTACTTCTGCATATAAAGCATTGTACAAAAAAAGTCTTCCCCGTGCCTCCATGACCATCAATAAAAAAAGAACCACCCTTTTGCTGCATAACATGATCCATAATACACACAAAAGCAAGATTTTGTGCAGAATTCAACTTAGAGCGGCAACTTAAACATTCTTCTGGGATAGGAGCATCAAGGGCATCTAGAATGTCCTTTGTCCGCCTGAACTCATCGTTATCCTGGGAATTTAAATAGTCTAGACCAAAAAAAGCAAGCAATTTTCCCATGGCTTCAAGGTGCTGTTCTATAGCTCTTACAGTAAGCTGTTGCACTTTTTGCAACTGTTGTGGAAATTTGTGAGAGAAGTCTTCACCAAGAAAAGGATAATACTTTTCCCATAAAGCAGCAGGATCACTTGACTGACAAAATATAAGAACTGTTGCAAATAATCGGCGCAAGGCAGCAGGCATATGAGTCTCACAAGCTTCAGACAAAGTTAACTCAGTTGCATCATCGTCTTCTATAATTCCAAGTTTTATAGAAGCTTCTTGAAAAGTTGGATAAAGATGACCATTGACAGTTCTCAAATCCTCAAATGACTTAGGGCTTCTTACATTCAGCAATAAAAGTCTAAAAAAAAATCGTTCACCCTCTGCAGGATATACAAATGCTAATCTCCCAATTGATAGCCTATTTTGGACCCTTTGTTTCCATTTCTTAGTACTCTGCTCCCATGTGTAGTGTTCACAAAATTCACCATATAAGTATCCCAACCCATTTCAGAGACAGCATTCATTGCAAAAAATTCAGTCAACTGAGTTCTTGATCGTTTAGAATTTGAGACAACAGCTTGTAGCCTTTCATGAGGATGAACACAAACAGTCTGCATATTTGGTAAATGAACCTGCAAAGGTAAAACTGGAGGGTGCATCTCGAACAAATCAAAACTAAAGATTCTCCATGCCGCTTCACAAGGAGATACCCATCGTCCTGATTGATACTTCTTAGTCTCATCCACAACTTCATTATTACATGACACTACATTATAAGAAATTCTATCATGACCCTTATATACATACTTATATAAGTACTTTACTACCTTAATTGTCGAACACACCTCAACATTTATATGACAATCAAATAGCAAAGAAAGATAAGGGTTATATGGAATAACCCACTGATTATCTAGCTCGACATTTCTTATAACTACTTTTTCTCCAGTTTCTCTTCTACGATAAATAGGATAGCCATCTTTACTATTAGTAGTTTCATTGCAGAACTTCTTAGGATACTTATTCTTGCAACTTAATTTAAGACCACGTGTGCGCATACATGCGCATTCTGGATTCAGTTCACCACAAGGTCCATGCATCATATGAGCCAACACAATTCGCCTAAGATTAACATTAGTTTCAGAAGGTATTTCAGCACAAAAAAACCTATCATAATCAGCAGGGCATTTCATCTTATATTCAGGATTTAGAATAATTAAAAAATGAGCACGTGGCAAACCTCTTTTCTGAAACTCAACTACGTACACCATTGCAGCAACTTCTCCAAAAACCTTCCTTTCCATAATATCTTTCTTCAGTGTAATCAATTTTGCTCTAAAAATTCTAGCAACCAAATCAGGTCTGTCATGGCTCTTTCACTAGTAGCTAGCTCTTCCTTTATTTCTGGCCAGTTAGCATTACACGTAACTGTTACAAACAAATCTGGCTTGCTGAATCTCTGCACTAATACCATGGCATTTAAATACCGCTTCTTCATATCCCGAGGACCCCCAATATAAGTCGGCGGTAATATCACCCTTCGGCCAACATTATAAGCAATAGTTTCTCCACTATCCAATGAATCCAAAATACCTTTATATAGATCAGCTCTAATTGTTGCCTGATTGTTCCGAAAGTAATCTAGCCTCGTGTTTTCAATCTTTACATACATGTCTACTATATACTGTTGGAAACATCTCCCTGCTCGCAATAGCATATTATTAGGCCGAATTTGCAACTTGTAAGCATAATATTCCCTAGGAGAAATAAACTTGTCTGCTCTAGTATTCTTTCTCTATGCACCTGCATACAAAGAACCCATAACTATGTCACTGAAAACTAATTTATAGTGTATGTTTCACAAAGAATATAAAACACAAAGGGTTTAAATTGTGTACGTATTTCATCTGGATTCAACAAATCCTCAGCATTATGAACAGCACAAGACATTATGGGATCTGGAATTAAATCTGATGCTCGTCTACTTGGATGAGATTTTTTTTAAGACCTTGAGTCCAACCACATTCTCCTCGAGGAAATAATAATGGATATTGAAGTGGATCGTAACAACCATAATTATGATAGATTCGGTGAGTCTGATCAGATTTTCCAGCCACCATAATATGAGGACTTGAATTTTGGCTTGATGAAGCATCTTCTGGCCAGATAACAGCTACATCATCAACAGAAGGAGAATTATAGACACGATGATCAAGTACACGATTCTGATTCAGAATAGTTTTCGTGTCCTCAGTAACAACTCGTTCTCATAGAGACCGGAAAAACACAGCATATGGATTCTGGTGTGACACATGCATTAAAATCCGGATCACATCTTCTCTTACCTCTGGAAAAGAACCCAATCTATTTTTTACCTCATGTTGTCCATCGTGAAAGTATAGCTGCAGGTATTTAGGACAGTTCTTTTCGGGTAATAAATTTGGGACAAAATGATACATTTGACCATGCATTTTGAATACATAAATTCCCTTTTTGCTCTTTGCATCGAAATGCCCTCCAAGTGAACTGTATGCAAATAAATTGTTGTTATACAATCAAGCATACTTCCGAAAATGAACAGCAATTTCATCCTTTGAAGTAAATAAGTAGATGAGTTCAGGAGGGTACTCATTTGCTGCTATCTCAATGTCTCCATCCCCACAGCAAAAGTGGAGGGACTCGAACATAAATTTCTTCGCACCACATTGAGAACAATAAAAAGGCGCAGAAAGTGTTAATGGATTTGTTGGTAACTCTCGATTTGTAGCAGCACCAAGAAGATCTGCCAAAACCCAACAAAGGAAGCACAATCACCACCAATCATAATATGCACTTCTAAAATGTACAACCTGAAATTTATTACTTTCTTTCAGACGATTGGTAGAAGTATTTGCTGAACAGGTAGCCATGCTTTCCTGCGATGCACTGCACAAAGGACTCGTTCAGTAATATTAGATATAGTATTCTAGTGTTGCAAGTAAATTCTAAGCAGCTAGGAATAATATGCCTAGTCCAAAATAACAATCAGAATGACATGAACCAAGATAGACAATCCAAGAGTATCAAAATCTAATACAGCAGGAAATAAGAATAACAGCAAGCTAAAAGACTTTCACTCATTACCCATTTCCCTGCGTATCGGCTAGTGTCTGTATACATTTACGTTTCTGTGTCTTTTGAATCCCGCACATACGTGCATCCTGATACTGATTATCTGATATAGATGGGTTGCAACGTAAACCAATATCATTTATATATTTCCAAGAAAGCAGTTCATTAAATTAATGCAGATAAGAAAACCAGCTATTTTTACCAAGCAAATGCTGACTGAGATGCTCTTTGGGCGGCCTGGTTCAATCGTTTACAACTCTTGCGAGATAGCTGTGGTAGACCATAGCGACAATCTTGCATACAACATCTTCAAGTCATTCTTTATCATAAAAGTTGCACGTTATAGATATGTAAACCACAGTATGATATACGCAATTAAAATTCGTATAGTACCACTACAACAAAATAAAGCAAAGGTAACAGTGCAAAACCATTGCCTAATATAAAAAAAGTGTTGCCTTGTAGCTAAGGCAACACATATGAGGCGTAGTATATGCCCCCGTTGTCTATTCATAAGGCAACACATTTTTATTCAAAGGCAACAATTTTGAAAGCCAAGGTAGAATTGAAGGAGTTATGTCTTCGATAAGTGCAATTACTAGATATATCAAGGATCACTATTATGGAGATAATAAGTTCATTCTATAGGGTTGTCAATGTTTGGTGCTAGATATGACAATTGATCTTTGGGCTAGCTTAATAGCCCAAAGCCTTATAGAATGGATCCTACAAGGTCACACATAAGAGTATTGGGTTAAACAAGTTAGAGGCCCATTATTGGGTCACATGAGTACATGAAATACCATGTTGATAATTAGCTTGGATAGTTAGAAGAGTCTAATGGGTTTTGGACTTGACATGGTTTTATTTCTAGATATGATCTATAAATATAAACTATGCCTAGGGTTGTATGACACACAACAATTGACATACAGTGAATTGTCACACAAGAACCCAGGTTTCCCAAAAACCCTAACTCTCTCTTTCTCTACTTGGCCCTCTCTCTCTCCTCCCTGTCCGTACGGCCCTCCTCCTTGGGTGGCGCGTGTGGTGGTGCGTGGGTGGTGTTGTGGTGTGTTCGTGGCTCAAATCTTCGTTGAAGGTTGATTGAAGTGTTCAATCACAACTAACTAGCATTAGTGGAGGTTTAATCCATGCTCGTGGACTAAGTAAAGGAATCACGCTTGGGGTTCTTTATCTCCCATTGTTCTTGCTCGATCGCACGTGGAATCACGCTTCAAAGGTACGACTATATGTTCTTTATGTGTTATGCATTAGATCTTGGGATTAGGTACTGTATGAATATGATTCATGTTTTTCCGCTGCGTAGTACCTATAATTCCCTACAGTGCTATCAGTTAGCCTATTGCATTTACGCATATTGACTATAATTCTTTGATAGTCCACAATTTTAATTCAATTAAGAGGGAGATTAATTTAATTATGGTTCAGTTATTATATTTAATGTGATTAAACTTTTGGAATCGATTAAATGTGATTTAATTATGCTCAAAATAGCCATGAAGAGACCGAATTTTAGCCCTAATATGTTCGAAATTTTCGAACACCCTAACCCTAAATTTCGAATTTTTTCGAAAATCCTAGCCCTAAAATATGATTTTTGTGCTTGATTTTGATTTAATTCGATTTATTTTATGATTCATAATTTTAATCGGATTGATTTATGCATAAAAGCGTTTTGTGTATGATCATCAATTTAATTTTAAAAGTTAGAATTAAATAGGGATTAATTTTATGAAGAACCCTAATTTTAAGATTGAATGTGATTTAATTTTAATCTTTTGGACTGATTTAATTTAATTATGATAAATAATATTTTAATTAAATTAAAACACAAAAAAAAAATTGTTTTAGGTGGTCGGCAACCGCGGCTGGGTGGCGCAGCCACGGCGGCTGCCGACCAAGTGGCAGTCCGAGAGGGAGGGAGGAAGGGCAGGCGGTCTGGGGCGGCTGTGGGAAGCAGCGTGCAAGCGTTGCACGACTGCTGCCACGGCTGCCAGAGCAGCTGCCCGCTGCTGCCTTGCGGCAGTGGCTGCTGTTATGGCAGCCAGCCACCGTGGCTAGCTTCGGCTAGCCAACCACGGTGGCCGGCGGTGGTGGCTTGCGGTATTTTTTTTCAAAAAAAAAAATTTAATTATCTTATTTTAAAAATTATTTCAAGATAATTGTGAATTATTTTGGTATAAAATCAGTTTTATTTTGGATAAGATAGAATATTTTGAAAATATGATCTTTTATTTTAAAAGATAAAATTGGTTTTGTTTGGATAAAATCTTTTATTTTAGGATAAAATCAAATATTCAAGAGTTGTTATATTTGATATTATCCATATTTAAAGTTGTTAAATAGGTAATTATCCTAATTATAGTGGTTAATTATGGATAAGATTGACTAGGATATTCTGAGCATATTCCAAAAGGATAATAATTGATTTAAATAATGTGATTATCCCATAATTATTTTTGGATAATAATTGATTTAAAATTTTGTGATTGACTAGTAATTAGGATAGAATTTCCTAACATTGTTAGGATAATCTTTGAAGACAAATATGATTTATCTTTTAAGATTAAAATAAGATTTGATTCTATCTCATGACTAATTTAGAATATATGATATTTTATTGATGGTCATGAATAATATATGATATTATCTAATTGCATTAATTAAAATATGAGATATTTTGGTGTCATGCTTCCTTAATTATGAACATTCGATGTTGTAGTTTAGGAAAGCATGATGAGTGATTTATTATGTGGCAATTTTATAATATATGATGTTATTTATTGCTATATAATGACTAGTATGGCCCAGTAGATTACTAAATACGATCTGCGCATTGTGATGTATTTTTGTAATCTTAATACGGTCTACGTACCGATAAAGTATTTTTGTAATTTTGTTTCATTTTATCTAAGTAGTAGATAGAATAGAGTAAAATTACAGGTTGCAGTTAATCTAAGAAACCCATGAAGTGAAGGCCCAAAGGAGCAAGGTGGATGAGATCCATGAAGGTTCAAGTGGGAGTTTTTTGCTTTATTAGTTTTCTTAGGATTAGGGGCCATGCTATGTCTTGTTTATGCATTCAGTATTTTATGCATGTTAGATTTTATTGATGTTTTGTGATGATGCGCTAGAGTTCACTATTTAATCACAACATAATGAATCTAGG